GGTTCAGAGCGGCTTTCATTATAAGACTGTCCCTTATAGAAAGCCGCATTCACTCAAATCGCTGCCTGCCACTGACTGAACACACGGGCGTGACGTACACAAACGCGACGTGACGCTCGCAAATGAGGCTAGAAGCGATACGTATGGCGCTACTGGGCATGCGCACATCAATACAGCGTAATTTTTGTCACACTGTATAACAATTACTATTTTTTTTATTATTGCAATGGGTAGGCTTAGGGTTGGGGTAGTTGTAGATGTTAATAAAACGCAATCTAATAGGTAGATAATTCGATTTAATTGGAGCTGTATCCCTTCTAGCCACAACCGTCTCGAGGGTAACGGTGCACCGTGCAAGCTGCAACTCTCGCGATATTCACATGCGCGCAAACATAATAGCAGCAATGCGCATGCGCGAGAATTTCGCAGTAAGAGGGTTACCTTCCTTAGACACGCCACGTCACTGCTAATATGCGCCGCCTGGTGGACAAAAGAAGAACAATACACGGAGGCAGAGATTCACAAAGAGTCCATATTGTACTTTTTTTTTGTCTTTGATGTTTCTTTTTTTTGTTATAAACTCTGCTAATGTCACACTATCATCAAGATCACAGTCATATTCATTTTTATTGCAAATGCTGTATTGTGTGTATGATATCACAACTGTCCCACTGTCATCAATGCAATGTTTGTATTGTTGCTACTGCACATTCTTTATAGTTAAATTTTTCCACATCTTAGAGTATAGAAAAGTCATCAAATTATGAAAGAACACAAAATAAAGTAGGCTATGATAATCAGGCTTAGGTTTCGATTCGGACCCACTATTCATTTTTGCCTACTATATAGTATGGAAGTAGGCATGTTTAGATGCAGGGCCACTGTCCTGCAGAGTTTACCTCCAACCCTAATCAAACACACTGAACCAGCTAATCAAGGTCTTCAGGATGTCATGAAAAACACTGGCAGGTGTGTTGGAGCTGGTTGGAACTAGAGAATATAGAGGAACTATAACATTTTTGGAAGATTTTCCCATCCTGAAAATCACAATTTTATATTCCAGGTTTTGATAAATGTACATTTTCCATGACTTTGGAAAACTGAGAATAGTTTATTAGACTGACCTTCATTCTAGACACCCAATGTCACCAATAGGTGGCAGCACAGTCCTACTATCTCGCTCGAAACCCGCCTCATGAGATGTTAGAATTCAGACAGCACACTTCCCCTCAATATGTAAATGTCTTTTGTCATAAAAATTGGACCCATTCCCAAAATTCTGCTACATCAATATGTTGATTTCTCCCGAAAGCACACAGAACTTATCCTGCAGACAGTGTGTTAGTGTGATGAATCTTCTACAGTTCGTCACAATGAATGTGTGTGTTTTCAGTCATTCAGTGAGCTATGGATGCCACAAGCAATCGTTCATCTGCAGGCATCTGCATGAAATTGTTTCCCTCTTGAATCATTAAGGGGACTTAATTGACTTTTTAAATGAGGACGAGCTGCTTATACTTGCTGTATTGATTTGAATTTCAAGGAAGTTCAGAGCTGTGCAGTTACTATAGCGGCCTTGATAGATTTTCATTTGTTGTTCTTTCCCGTAACTAAATATGAATAATCCCTCCAGCTCGTAAACACACCAGATTCACTCCCTACAATCTAATTTCTTCATTGTTTATCTTTTCTGTTTTCTGTAGCTCAGCTGGTAGCCCTTGTAAAAAAAAGAAGTACACTTTAGCATACTTTTAAAATAAGTACTTATTAATGAAATCATTTACAATGTTCATTGCAATTAAATGATTGTCATTCTATTGCATTTAACATGCAATAGTGTCCAAAAACATGACTTGAACTTTTTCTTTCAACATTCCTCTAGTATTATAGCTTAAATGTATGTTAAATGCAATTAGCTGAACTTAAGAGTGCTTAATTTTGACCCTGTCATCTTTCACTCACCCTCATGTTGTTTCAAACCTGTCTGAATTTCTTTCTTCTGCTGAACACAAAAGAAGATATTTTGAAGAATGTTGGTTAACTAAACAGTTGACGGTAGCCATTGACTTTCATTGTATTTTTTTTTTTTCATTCTATGGAAGTCAATGGTTACCGTCAACTCTTCCTGCATTCTTCAGAATATCTTCTTTTCTGCTCAACAGAAGAAAGAAACTTGTACAGGTTTGGAATGAAATGAAGGTGAGTAAATTATGACAAATATGACAGAATTTTCAGTTTAAGCACACTTCTAAGGTCTAACACAAGGAATAAACCAAATTTTGCCATGTATTTTGTTTGTATATTAGAGTGTACTGTGCTTTTTAGCATAGCAAAATGCTAACATAAAACTCTATTGGAATCAATTTGGCAGTCAAGTCTAAATGTGCTTCACAAAATCTCATCATTGCTGCTTCATGGTGGTTTACTAGCTCTAACCAGCTGCTGTATACTTCACGTTGTATCTGACAAATGCACAAATGCCTTTTCTTAAAATCAATATTCACTGAAAACATTTATGATCATTTGTTATGGAAAAGAGCAGTGTGAACATTCTGCTAAACTTTGCTAAAAATGCAGTTTGGTGAACTGAATACTGACAGTAAATAATATTAATAGTTGCTAGTTTTAACTGTCTATAGCAGTCATGACCCTGGTACTTTGGGTCTGAGGTGATGGAAAAATATGATTTCTTGTTAAGTTCAGCATTAACATTTTCAAATTAAAAGATATCTAGAAGTTTCGAACACATTGTAAATAGACAAGGTGCACAAGGTCATACACACAAAGGCAAAACTCCAGGGTAACACGCAACACTAAAATGCAATAAATATCAACTAAATAACAGAAAATGTTACACAATGTACATTTTAACAAAAGGGGAGAAACAAAACTATTTAAATATATATTTGATAGTATTTTACAGTAAAATATAATGTGATGTTAAACCATATTTTGACTGTAGCTTAGCAACATGCTAACGTGAACATAGAGAAGTTCTCTTGTTTGGTGAAAGAGTGCTCTTTATGAGACTATAAGAAAGTAGCTTGTCGAGTGTTTTTATGAGGTTTTATTTTCGATTAGGTTGGCTGCCTTCAGGCTATGTAGACTGCTGACAGCAAAATGGTATAGAGCTACTTTTTGCCTTCATTAGCTGCATTATTCTAACTCTCCCTCCTCCCCAGACAGTTTGCTAGTCAATCTACATGAGGAAATATGACAAATGCTTCATCCAGCACCCTTATGACTCTCAAAACATCTTGAAAAGGACTATCAACCCCCCTCCAGTCTGTTTCTCGCACTCTGTTCAAACAGAGATGTTCAAGGCTGTGAATATTCCAACATGACAAATGAGATGTTCACCATTGTCTAAGACCGAACAGTTATATCAGAGTGAAACGGCAACCTCCGGCGCAGATAATGTGAGTTTTCGCATTAATTCAGACATCATTCAGAAAGAGAAGGAGCGAGAGAGATGGTGGGAGAGAATGATGACTAAATAGTGACAGAGAGCAGGGCGGATGGCTTCCAATCACAGAAGCCATCAGATGAGTTCAGTTTGAAACGACAGCCTTGGTAAATATGAGGCACGGTGGTGAAGATAAATGCCCTCTTTGAAGCCATACATTACAACTCTCAGTGAGACAGGAGGAATTAGCCTGTCGCATGCAGAGCTAACCTTGAAAGACAGATTTTGAATTAAGCTGCCTCTGTCTGATGAATGCTGCCGTGACATGAA